GTTAATGTTAATGTTAATGTTAATGTTAATGTTAATGTTAATGTTAATGTTAATGTTAATGTTAATGTCAATGTTAATGTTAATGTTAATGTTACTTTAGTTTTATTTTTTATAATATTTATTTTATCTTATTAAAAAAAATTAAATATTAATTTCCTTCAATTCTCTCTTCGTTTACTTCCAGCTCCCTGGATACGCCCATTCACACGCACACACCCTTCCCGGGCATCTCACAATTGACGACGAACCTCTATTTGTGCGGCGCTGGCGTTGTCATGCCCATGATACTCGATCAGCTGCAGGTGCGTTTCATTATCAATGTCGCACCGGAGCTACCCGATACACCGCTCTCGAGCGTCACCAAACCGCTATATTTGCGCATCAACGCATACGATCGCCCTAACACCGATCTGTCGGTGCATTTCGACGAGGTGGCCGATATGATTGAAGAGGTGCGTCAGCTCGGCGGCAAATCGCTCGTGCACTGCGTTGCCGGTGTCAGTCGGTCCGCCACACTCTGCTTGGCATATCTTATGAAGTATGGTGGCATGTCACTGCGCGCTGCCTACTTGCACGTCAAGGCCATACGTCCACAAATACGTCCGAATACAGGATTTTTCCAGCAGTTGCGCTGCTATGAAGAACAACTGAGAGGTTCCTGCTCGGTGCAGATGGTCTACTATGAATCGTTGAACAGGGAGATACCGGATGTCTATGAGCCGGAGTATCGTGCAATGGAGGAGTTCTACCAGCGACAGCGTAAAGCTTTGAAACGGCATTGACTCGCGTTGGCTGGTGGGATGTTATGTTTGTGGGCGTTTACAATGGACAACTTTATTCCAAAGGGTAGTTTTAACGGCGTGTTTGAGTGGGTATCGGAATGATATGTTTGTGGCATGTGTGGTTGAAAGTGTAATGTAATGTAAGTGAACGATTTTATGGAAAAGTATTGATGTGCCTTAGGCTCGACTTATGTCTATATTCGTTAATTGTTAGTTGTGAAATTATCTGTAGTTCCTAGTGTTATGTATTTATATGGCAACTTTTTCCCAGCATAGTGCCTAGTATGTATTTGCACATTTTTGCTGACTTGAAAAATTTTAGTATTTTAGAAATATCTTATATACAATAAAATTTTGAAATTATGTAAAAAATATAATATAAAATGTGTTATTATTTTGAACTGTAAGTAAACAATAATAAAGGTTTCCTCTTCGTTAAGCGAAATTTCAGGTCATTCGGCCATTTCTTGTTGTTTTTTAATTACAAACATTTTTTGATACCGTTTGGAAAGAGCCTTGCTTAGATCAGTCTACTATATCTTGATTTAAAAGATGATACTGAGATGAAAAGATGGACTGTTCGCGATCAAAGCGATGCCTATGTTATACTAGTATTGTAAAATAAGAATAATTGTAGGTATTAAATATATATTTCCTTTTAGTTTTATGATATAATTATTTTGATCAATTAGAAGGTAAGAATATGTGCCGGCACATAACGAGTTTGTTCTTGATTGATATCAGAAAATCGAAATTTGTGTTTATGCACACATCACCGATCAGTTTGGTGTTTAACCTTGCTAAGAATACGCTGTTTTACACAAATGATAATAATGGTATTGAACCTGGCTAGAGATTTTTCGTTTGTACTGTACGTAATCCGATCACTATCGTTACTTTAACGTGCCTACTTTTAGGCGAACGCGTGAGCTAGTTTACATGGTTGCGCAGAAAAATAACTCAAGAGGTTTTTAATATTAAGTTGAAGCGGCTTTTGACTTTTTTTTTGAGTTGCCACCCAGGAAAATACAATTTGGTACATTCTAATACAAATAACTTAATCAATTTGAAATTGTGTGTTTCCAGTACAATTGCAATCCGGCATTGCTGAAATAATGACGTATTATTGAAAATGCAAGAGGCTCATACTCTATACCACTAAATCCACCGTGACCATATACCACTAACGGGACGAAGAAGTGCATACTGAACCTTAATATCAGAAGCGTTAAAATTCCGACTCACAACAATCGTAATTCTTCACGCTTTAAACTTGACAGCTTGTGCTCCTTCATCACTTACTCACGCAAAAACGCCTCAAGTCATTTGCTGCCATTATGGTCGGCTGGATGTAGTGAAGCGCAGACGAAAAAGCTTCAGACGTGTCAAAATACAACACTCTTAGCATTACAGAATTTCTCCTCATGTCTCCAAAATCACGTTTCCTTTAACGGTAGGATTTCGATGACAACCAACTTGAATCTTACCACACAGCGGAGATTAGAGACCTGTAATAACAATAAACACAACATGAAAAAAATGAGCTAAAACACAAACGATTCCTGTACTGAAGGGTGACAGAAATTCTAAATCTCTTTGTGATATTTTGATTTAGATAAACGGACCCGGATTTATTGTTAAAGAAGAAAAAGTCATAACTGACGTCAATTTCATTGCCCAGATGCCTTCTTTGTTCGGGATTCTCTGATTTTTACTGTTTCGACACTAGAGTATTTAGTATTTCATCGAGGGATGTGTCACAAAAAAAAAAAAAAAAAAAAAAAAATTCTACAACGACTATAGGTAATCATAAGGTAAAGCGATCTGAAGGTAAACGTTATCTGAAGGAAGATGTGGTCATAGAGAGGTAGTTCATCGAAGGAATTAATGTCATAGCTTTTGAGGCAGCTGGAAATTTGACAATAGAATTTAATCGTTGACAGTTAAAAGTACTGACATAAAATTTGCCCATTTTGAAGGTGATAAAAGATTTTTGTACGAATAGCTGAATATTTTTTATACACAAAGCTTATTAAGTTTTCTGCAAACTTGGCAATACCCACAAGGAAACGTTAGAGATTAGAAATCGTCCCGATCTGAGTCTGTTTAGACATATATGACTGTGTATAGAAAACCTTTTCCATTTGAGGAAGACGGTGGACGTAAAAAAAATGAGAGCAGGTACTCTAAGGACATCAACTGAACGTATACATAATATCTTCTTCTTCTTTACTGACGTAGAAACCGCTTACGTAGTTATAACCGAGTTAATAACAGCGCGCCAGTCGTTTCTTCTTTTCGCAAAGTGGCACCAATCGGAGATTCCAAGCGAAGCCATGTCCTTCTCCACCTAAGTCACGCGCAGAGCATACTTTTGATCAAAACCAACTACGAATTAATGATTCAGAGCAGTGTTTGGAGATGACCGAGCTCCATTAAATCGAGTGTTTGCATCCATATGTGATTTCACTCCAAACTCCAATCGACAGTCAACCGAATTGCTTCCGCATTCACCATATTCCACAGATCTGACCGCCAGTGACTATTTCTGGTTCTTAGATCTCAGAAGTATGCTCGCTGGGAAGAAAGATTCTTCGAATGAAGATGTGACCGCCGAAACTGAGGTAGCACCGTGTAAGGGAACGACATATATTAGCATTTTTTTTTTGTTTTTTTGATATTTTCAAGAGCTTTTCAGAATGTATCAAGGCTAAATGATTTTAAAAGTTAAACTAAACAAATTATTGGTGAAATAATAATTAAAATTCAATAATAAGAAGGCGCTTATATTTCTCTAATCAACATATTTATGTCTCATATTTGTATTTAGCTAACTATTAGCGTGTATATGCTTAAAATCAGCAATTATTTGGGATCGATGAACTGCATACTTCAGTCACTCAATTTGTTCAGTAGAATACAGGTAAAGGTCAGCGTACCATGGCCATGACCATGACCGTGATCATAACCGTTGAGATCAAATGATTTCTATAGAGACTAAATCATCAGAAATCTTTAAAAGAATACAATAAAAACAAAGAAATTAGGCAGTCCACCAAAAATAACTTCTAATCAAATTGTTTTCTACGGCAAGACGGAGAATGAACCAATGGAACTACACTCACACACATACGCATACATTCAAATTGACATAGCTCATGGGCGAGCTGTCAAGTTGAATAATAGTCACGCTGTCGAAGCACAAAAACAACGACAACTGAATTTTATTATGCGCGTCCAAGTGAAATCGTGAATTTACTTTTGCGTTGTGCGTACCCTTCACCTACATCTCCACGCCAGCAGCTTTGGCGAATATACGCGTGCGCACGCACTTTCAATCTCATGCGTTCAGCTCCGCAACTCTGTCGTGCTGCTTGGTTCAACGCCCGCGCGCTTGTGTGTAGATTAGTTTTTACTTGTAGACAGGAATTAGCATAATGAAAATTGATTCATTTCGCATTGATTCTCGGCTTTCGTTTCATTAAGGTAGCAACGAAATTAGAAATGTTCTCATGTGTGTTTGTGTGTGTGTGTGTTTATAGAGTTGTTTGGATCAATAACTCATAGTTTGATGATAGGTGGCTATTCACGAATGGCTTAGCGAGAGTGTTTCTTTGCTTTTATTGCGATTCTTCTTTCGTTTAAAGCATGCGAAAGTGCTTTTGTTGCCTTTTTTTTACGAGTTGGCTCCGACCTTCAACTTGGATTTCGCTGTCACATGGCAGTTTCAAAGGTTTATTGTCTTAATAGTTAGCTAAACACACGCACACACGCACATATGTATGCATGGCCAACCTATCATCAGTCAAATATGATTAATGATTATTGGAAAAGTTATTTGTAATGATTAAAAATATTTTAATTAAATGCCGAGTTGGCTGTTTTTTCGAACGGCAGTTATTATAATTCACCTCTGGAATCAATATCCGTAATATTTGGGATTTTCGGGCTAAGCTATTATCATTTGTGGGAAATTAAGCAGAAAGAATAAAGTAAGTAAATATGGAAGAGCTAAGTTTGGGCGTGAGATCATCAAAGATACTCAGGTATTTGATGGAAAAATATTACATTTATAAACTGCTTTCGATTCGTTCTACATGAGAGAGTTGTAAATCGAACGCATTATACAAGTTGTTTAGAGACACGCAGGCGCATTTCAATAGTTCTTTCGATATCTAAGAATATTTTTATAGTCCATCGAACTCATTTTCTCTAAAAAATTACATTTCATTTCACAAAATATTTTTATGTTGGTAAAAAAAAAAAAATTAAAAAGAATTTTTTATTTAGTAGGGTAGTTTTCATACCGAAGACAAGTAGAAATAATCCAACTTTCTCATAAGAATTTGAGCCCAGAAAATATTGGGCATGCACATCAGGGTCGCAGCCCAATCCTCTCCAGAAGGTTGTCCAGGGGGCACTAAGCTTATACGAAGGGTAGATCAGTAGAGGCTGCACTCCATACATTGGTATTTAATATCGAAAGGGCTCTTGAGTATAAGGAATGCGCTCTTGGAGCATTCCTGGAGCATTCAACAACGTCTGTACGGAAGCTGTTCTGAATAGTATCCAGTCAAGAAATGTTGACCATGCTGTACAACGCTGGATCAGCAGCCTTCTGACCTCTAGAAGGATAAGGGCAGAATGAAACCACACTATATTGATCAAGAACGTCTGCAGAAGTACTCAGAGAGGTGGAGTGGTGAATAAACTGCTAAGCGACTTGGTCGGCAAAGCCGCTAAGATAGTGGCATATACGAACGGCATTGTAATCGGAATAACAGGTAGGTGTCAACAGACTATCAGCAGTATTATGACCACCATTCTCAATAAAATCCAGAATTGGGCACCACAAGCGGGTCTGGGGTTGAACCCATAGAAAACGGAACTGCTTGTGTTGACAAGAAAGTATAAAATTAATTCATGGCGGGTCCCTTCAATAAATGGGACACAACTCTCTCTTAAGGACCGCACCAAGTACCTTGGGCCAGTCTGGGACAGCAAACAGCTATGGTAGCACAACGTGGAAGGAAGAGTTGAGAAAGGCAATGATTTACAAACGTGTAAGCAGATGCTCGACATAATCTGGGGGCCTCCCTCATGCACTGATGCTACACAGTTGTTTGCGGAAACTACTGCTCTTTCAACTCCGTCCCTGAAGAGTTGCATCATTGTGTCGCAGAGCCTTATCCTTGTGACTTCTCTGCACACACACCGACGAGGTATATGTGGTCTGAAAGAAATCACTCTAGAAGAGGTGCAGCAAGCTTCTTCATGACTAAGCTATTGGAGAATTGGACTCAAAGCAGGAAAATATATATTCAC